CTGTGCGTGTGGCCAAGTCTGGAATCGTGGTTTCTAATTCTCACAGGCTGGGTTGTCTGGAATAAGATGTTCACTGTCTGCATTTTGGGTTCTCCTCCATCAAGCGAACCTAGGAAAGAGTAAACACTACCTAGGGTATTCTGACCCTCGCTACGTTTCCATTCCCCTATCTGCAAATGTGACTGACGACAGGCTGTCCTTTTGAGTGGCACCAAATGTTGGGGACAGCTCATCGCCCAGGACGAAGACAGGATGAAGACAGAATGTAGCCATGATGGGTCAAGCAGGCATGGGAAGACAGTTCTCATTTATGAGTTTTATTTCATATGCTCACTTTTATCTCATATCCTCACATACCTAAACATCCCCTGGCTTAGATTTAGGATAGCCAGGACTCAGCAGAGAGGCACATGGGCTTCAATAAGAAAAGGAGATGTCATTGCTCCTACCATGGGTAAAATTCTAAATTTTTAACAGTTCGACTCAGTAGAGAAGCTTTTGAGGTCTCTCACATAGCCTGACTCCTGTGAGGATGTCTCTGCGCTAATCCTACAGGGCTGGCACCTCTCCTACAGCACAGACTCCGTCTCATCACGACTTTCTGCTCTGCTAGTGAAGAAACTAACTAGGCGCTGGGACCATTTCTTGTTTCTGGTACCCAGGTCTGAAGTATTGCATAGTAAAAGTTCCTTGAGTGAATGAAGACACTTCTATTTCACAGATGAAGAATGACGTTTTTATCCAAAATACAGTCTGTTGGCTCAATCAAGCACATCAACATATGTGTTATCAACAAACAATTTTTCATTTCTTATGTCTTGTATATTTTGCGTTTTTTTTTTTTTTTTTTTTTTTTTTGCCATCCTTGATTCCCTATCCCTAACCCTCTGCCCTATCCAACCCTCCTCCTATTGTCTCTGGTATTCATGATTACTTTCTATGCCTATCCCCCCCATTTAATTGATTTGCTGCATATTAATGTTAAAAAAAGAAAAATAAATTAATAAATTAAAAAAAAAAAAAGAAATGGAGCAGCAGAAAATTGGCAGTTCCTCACTCTCGCCTCTAGGGGCTAGGGAGAACCCACATGAAGTATAAAAACAATCCTTAGCGGAAAAACCCTTCCAGCAGGAGACACCCAGGGGAAACCAGCTCGAGGTGGAACCAGCCTTTCATTCTATAGTCGTGGTAACAAGTGGGAAGAATTATGGTGCACATGTTCACGGCCATTATCTCACTTACAGATCAGTATCACCCTAAGAGAGGAGTCACGATCACTATCTTCCCCTTGCAGATGGGAAAACGAGACCTAGGGATGATAAGTAGGCGGCCCAGCATCACGAGGCGAATGCGCATTGAAGCTGGGGTTGATCTGGGACAGGATATTGTTCTCAGAGAGCAAACTCTTAATCCAACCTTATATTGTTTTCCTTATTGGTTTTTTGGGTATCTTTGCTTCCAATATTTTTTAAAAAAACATTTATGAATTTATTTATCGATTTATCTGTTGTGATCTTCAGGTCGCTGGGTCTGGGCTATATTTTTAAAGATTTATTTCATTTTATTTATTACTATTTTTTTAATTTGACCAGAGAGAGACAGAGAGGGAAAGCAAACTACCAGGTCCAGAACTCGAACTGCAGTCAGCCATGTGGGAGTCCAGCACCTTAACCACCATGTCATCTGCTGCCCCCTGGGTCTGGGTCTTAAACTATGGTCGGCCACGTGAAAATCCAGTGGGTTCACTACCAGGCCACCTTGCTTTCATATTACCCATGACACTACTGAATGTCAGGCTCCAGCTTCTACCAAGTGTGTTGGAGAATTAAGATCCAACAGAAAGGTGGAACCCTCGAAAAATGCACGGAAAATGGGAATTATGAGAAAAGTATACATGGATTTCACAATTTTTTGTACCAAAGTAAACTCGTACTTTAATTCCATTTTCCCACAAACTTTTTGAAGTCATTTCTTACAAGACACAAGCACTTCTCATATTGAAATAATCTCGAAGCATGAAGGGCACTCGGTCAAACATGAACGTGCATATTCATGGCCTAGAGCGAGATGCCGGCCGATCAAGTCCCAATTCCACTATTCACTAGCTCTGAGCTCAGTTTATTCAGCTGCAGAGTAAAACAAAATATAAAAATTCTTGCCTGGGCTGTCTCCCAAAGTTGTTGTAAAGTTCCAGCAAGATGGGGACGAGGCCTAAGAGCCTATGAAGTTAGCGAGGGCTCCCCATTGTTGTTCATTCGCACCCGAATGCACTGGACATTCCTTTCCGGCAGCTTGGCTTTCCTCTTAGGCAGCTTTGCCTAAAGCTAAGGCTTTCAAGGACTAAGGGGTGACAGTTCGAATGCAAAAGCCGCCCTGGGAACCACAGTGTGATAATCAGACACATACCCAGAAAGTTCTGGAATAGAACAGACCCTCCTAGTGCTCACTTCCTAAGACACACACGGAGTCAAAAGTTATAAAAACAGAGGGCACTGGGCACTGAAGAGCACTGGGGCAGAACGAGATACTGCAATAACATTCTCCAGCGCCCCAGTGCAAATGAGAAAGCCCAAGGACGGGAAGCAGAAGGGGCCCCACCAGCACTGCTGGCCGGGCGAGCTCCACCACTACCTTCTCCAAGGTCTGGCGAGAGAACAGACCCCTCCAGCCTCCAATTTTGTGGGGATTTTTTTCAGGTTTTTACATGATTTTTTCATTAATTAAAATGTTTAATTTTCTAAATTGAGGAAGCCAGCACTTGCCAAAACAGACCAAAATAGAGAGAGAGGGAGAAAGCCCCCCCTCCCAGTGAGGTGTGGCCATACCACAATCCTTTCTCCATTTCTCCCTTCAGTAGGGATATTGGTCACACACACATATGCATCTAGTACATTCTTTAAGCCTTTGGGGCCAAGATTCAAATGGTATGGTAAGTCACAGGGAATCCAACTCCCTTAAGCACTAAGTGGTGGGGCCAGCCTTCATCCTCCAATTGGGACAGGAAAGTGTTCGCACAAAGTGGGGGAAACGTTGGATGATATGACTTTAATCCAAAATTACGTTAAAATGTGTGCCTCACTTGTTTATGATCATCAGCCGGATATAGCGCAGTTGGGAAAATAGATAAAATAAGCTATCCCTTCTTTCCCCTTCTCAGACACTACCCCGTCCACACACTCCGCGGAGGCAGCTGTGCCGTCATTGGCCAGTGCAGAGTTTAGCATCCACACTGACCCAGCCATCTTACTATGCGTACCTGGGTGATACACGGCCAGCAGGTATTGTAATGCTTAAAGCTCTAGACCCCCACGTGGCCAATCGCAGCTCAAGTCTCAGACCCGGTGGCTTGAAATTCACACAGGACGTGTGTGTGTGTGTGTGTGTGTGTGTGTGTGTGTGCGCCTGCCCAAAATCCCAAGAGGAGAACAGAGAAGGGAAGGGATTATGGTGCGGCCATCCCCCCAAGCGGGGAGGGGGGATGTTTTCTCACTTTCTCTCTCTCCTTCATTCTCTGTCTCTCTGGTGAACCATGCACCCTATAACAAAAAATCTCTCAAGAAAATAAATAAATAAAAAACCACTGACACAATCCACATCCACAGTGTCTCCTAGAAAAACAGCTCAAAGCTGACTCTGAGGAGATTTCATTAGCTTAGGTGAATACATTTGTATTTCAAAAAGGCAATTCCTTCAAGCTGCCCAGAGAGGACAGGTTTCCAAGAAGGCGGTAATGCAGCAACCATCTGATACGAAGCCTAGCTCCAGAGAACAAGGAGCCCCGTCTGGAAGCCATCATCTCTGGGGACAGGCTGACTCAGTGGTCATTGCGCAACTTGTTCTGGGGCTCGCACCAAGTCACCCGCCAGTGAACAAACTCCCATCGTCCTCCTTGATCCACGTGGATCACATCCCATGGAAAAGTAGACACTGAGCCATAGAGGTCACATTGCTCCCATGTTGACAGAGAAAGACACAGAGGGAGAGACTGAAAAGACACTCAGAGAGAGAGATGGAGAAAGACAGGCTCAAGGGA